CGCCGCGATTTTCATGTGCGCACAACCTGAAATACGCTGAAAGGTCGGCCCGCTAGCAACGGATACGCTGAAAACGACGAGGGGATATTTATTAGCGGAACGGAACGCTCGCAGGAGGAAAAATTTTATGCGACAGGTTCGCAGGAATGTTAGCGGGAAAGCATGAGTTCATTTTCAGGTGACGGAAGTGGAATTGTTCGGGAAAGTGCACGTCTTCATTTTCGACGATTGTATAATTTTCGGTTCCACGGCGTGCTGTCGCTTTGGATACATTTCTTCCTATTAATATCCGGAAATTTTATTTTCAGGTGTTTCTATTTCCTGAGCGGTAGTTCATTTTGACGAACATCAATTCCATTTTGTTTTCGCACACTTTTACAGATTGCAGAATACGCAAGTACAGATTTAACTCTTCCATATGTCTTTCTCTTAGTTGGCGATTTATTACAGTGTCAAAACGAGTAGATCGAAATTTCGAGGGTAACTTAATGCTCTCACGAAAGTTGTAAAAACGAAGATGATGTCATAAAAAATCCCGCTTCATTACTTTCAAATTTACATGGAGCTAATGTTAAAGGTTTATTTATACCATGTGATTTTTTTATCTCTATTATGTCACCAAATTATGTAGGTCGTTTTTTAGAATGTACAACTTGCGCTTTGTTTTCATTTCCCAAATTGCTTCCGCTTATTGTTTTTTCAATTTTCGACAAGTTTTTCAATTTTTCGATGTTTTAATTTTTGATGTTTCGATTGGTGGATCTTTCGATTTTTCTAAGTTCTATTTTTCAATTCTTCAATTTTACGGGTTTTTTATTTTTCGATTCCTCAATTTTTCGATTTCTCAATTTACCGATGTTTCAGTTTTGGAATTTTTCTTTTTTTCGAATCTTCAATTTTTCTTCGATTTTTCATTTGGGATTTTCAATACATATTTCGATTCTTCCAATTTTCCACTTTTTGATTTTTCCATTTTTCGATTTCTTGATTTTTCATTTTTTTACTTGTCATATTCTTCGACATTTTGACTTTTCGGTTTTTCGAACATTTAAATTTTGCATTTTTTGATTTCTGGGTTTTTCAGTTTCTCGACTTTGGCGCTTTTTGTATTTTAAATTTTACATTTTCCGATTTTTTAATTTTTTGATGTTTCGATAGCTGGATCTTTCAATTTTTCGAAGTGCTATTTTTCAATTTTCCTATTTTTAGAGTTTCTTATTTTTCAAGTCTTCAATTTTTTAAATCTTCGATTTTCCGATTTTTCAATTTTCCGATTTCTCAATTTACCGATGTTTCAGTTTTGGAATTTTCCTTTTTTTCGAATCTTCAATTTTTCTTCGATTTTTCATTTGGGATTTTCAATACATATTTCGATTTTTCGAATTTTCCACTTTTTGATATTTCCATTTTTCGCTTTCTTGATTTTTCATTTTTTTACTTGTCATATTCTTCGATATTTTGATTTTTCAATTTTTGAAATTATAAATTTTTTGATTTTCCGATTTTTCAGCTTTTCGATCATTTAAATTTTGCATTTTTTGATTTCTCGGTTTTTCAGTTGTTCGACTTTGGCGCTTTTTGTATTTTAAATTTTACATTTTCCGATTTATCAATTTTTCAATTTATCAATGTTTCCGTATGTTTTAATTTTTCAAATCTTCAATTTTTGTTCGTTTTTTCAATTTTGGGATTTTCCAATAGATACATATTTCGATTCTTCCATTTTTCCACTTTTTGATATTTCCATTTTTCGATCTCTGGATTTTTCATTTTTTTTACCCTTCATATTCTTCGATATTTTAATTTTTCAATTTTTGAAATTATAGATTTTTCGATTTCTCGATTTTTCAGTTCTTCAATAATTTCAATTTTTCAGTTTTTCGAATTTTTAAATTTTATTTTTGTGAGTTTTTCGATGTTTTTTTTTCGATTTTTCAATTTCTGAATTTTTCGATTTTTCAATTTCTCGATTTTTCGATTTATTAACTTTTGGATAATTCGTTTGTTGATGTTTCTTTTTTTCAATTTTTCGTCATTTTAGTTTAAAATTGTTCAATTTCCCGATTTCTTAGAAATTGTAAATTTTACATTTTCCGATTTTACGATTTTTTATTCGATTACTTGATATCTCAGTTTTTTGTTTTAAAAAATGTTTCGACTTTTCTTTTTTTAGATTTCTTGATTTTGCAGGTTTTCAATTTCTCAATTTTTCGCCACTTCAATTTTGGGAATTTATCAATTTCTGGATTTTCTAGTTTTTCGATTTTTCAATTTTTCTTCATTTTGGTTTTAGAAAAATGTACCAGAACCGCATAAAACGTTGATTAGGCAGTTCTAGGAACCACGAAACGTCAAGAAAAAATAAAATTAACCATTCGTCGAGATTGTTACTTTGCTACGTTTAGATGTTTGTTATTTGACAATTTGTAATGAAACATAAAAAAAATAAATGTCGGGGACAACCGTGGAATCAAAAATTGAAATATTTTTGGTCAGATTTTAACCCGCTAGAGTGAATAATTTTCTTGCGAACTATTACTTTCTCAGTTACTTTAACACATCTGATATCTGCATTTAGCAGCACTGCCACATTCCGAAACTACGAATCACCGCAGCAAACCGACGTTTCTCGTCGTGTGAAATCTTTCATCTTCCCCAGAAAGCTACAATAGGATTATGCCTTTTGTTCTCAGACCAGCCTCTCAAAAAATCGTTTTCTTAATGAAATCGTCCCGGCCCAACCCTTCGAATTGAATTATTTCCTAAAAAAACGCTCTCATCGCAAAAATAGCATCGTCATTCCAAAACTCGTTATTATCGCCGCAATAAAACACATTCCCTGGTGTCCGCAGGATTAATTCCCTAAATATTTGGGACACAAAAGGAAGACATAAAGATAATTTAATGCGGCAGCTGGACAAGCAGTTTACGATCAAAACTTCACCCTCTAACGAATTCGCAAAAAAAAGAGTCGATAGTGAAATATCGCTTTTCTAGTGGCTGACGAACAAATCCGAAGAAATAGCATCCGGAAATAGCCATCGCCTCTGTTTCCTGTTTAATCGTTCACCTGATTTTGGTCCGATCTAAAATTGCTTAAACATGCCTTCCCGGCGCGGATTATTCAACTGTTGGGTATGTTATTGTCATAAATGTGATTTATGAACAACGAAAATAATTGAATTTTCTTCAGGAACGTAATCAAGTTCGCTTGTTTATTTCCAGGATTATTTTCGGATGGGATTTTTTGTGCACGTGTTCGCGAGAAGATTCCATAAAAATTGTGATGCAGTTTTTGGTGTTGTTTTCGATGAATCATTGCGCTACCAGATTTACATGGTGAAGTTATTTTGAGACGGGATAACGTATGGTGTGCACGCAAATTTTTTGATAACGCTATCTGACGCTATAAATCATTCCTGGAACAGAAATAAGCCATTCTGCATAAGTAAACTAATTTTTGAGTAGATAAATTTGATTAGTGTGGGGCGAGATAGTATTTTTTGGCAATGAAAAAGCAGTTTTGAATAAAATAAAGCCTCGTTAAGACAGTAATAGATTCATTTACGCAACACCTCATCAACCCCATTAATCAATACCGGCTAAACTTGAACAAACAACGATAATTCCAACATGAAATTATCACTTGTTTTTTTTCTTTCCTGTTCTAACACTATAGAGAATTTATGGTGATAAATTATGGTGATAAAACATAATTCAAGTACTTGAATGACAAAAGCTACCGCTTTTTGTTAAATAAACAGAAGCAGATCTACTTGCACACGCATAATATACAGATAGCGTGTCATAGCATTATTACTATTTGGATATTACCTTGCCAGCTTGAACTATTACTTAGAAATTACCTAATAAAATGACAGAGGCGGGTTCAAGGCTATTTATTTCGACATTAAATGATCAATAAAAACATATTTTAGGCAATCGGATTTCATCAAACACAACTCTTCTGAATTTAGAAAGTCACCCGTAAGCGGGACACTCTCCCGATGTATAAACATAAACACTTTAAGTTACACATGTTGTTGAGAGGCCATTTTTCCGTCGGTTATCTCTGCAAATATATTGTGAAACATAACTTTTTCATCTAAATTGTATAAAAAACTGTATTAATCTACTTAAGGTAGTCTCAATTACCAAAGAGTTACCGATACGTTCGAGATAACGTCGCTACTTCGTCAAAAAACTCCCTGAATCTTTTACGACAGTGACGTAAACGTGGAGCCGAAGTGCCAAAGCATGCGAGCTTGTGTGGTGATTGTGGTCACAGCACAGCCTTAAGCTCGCGTCAATTATATTTATGACCCGGCATTGTCCTCGAGGACATAGCCATAAACATGGTTTTTGTGCGCGCAATAATCATAACACATATGAACAACCGAAATTACGTAATAAGAAAAAATACGACGTCGTCCTTTATTCGTCGTCGTGTTAAAATCGTCCCCGAGTTCTGAAGAGGCCGAATAACACGAAAATAATGTTTTTTTACGGACCATTTTAAAAAGAAAAAGACAAATTTCTGGGTCGTTAAGCCTAACATGGAACGAAAGAAACACATGTATAAACCGTCTAATAAAATAGAAAGGCTTTGCCGAGTAGTTCGCCCCATCCATCTTCTCCCATAAAGTCGAAGAGGGAGCCGTTGGGGTAAAAAGTGAGGGGAATAAAGCGGCGCAGGTGGGTAATGAGCATGGATAACTTCAGAGGCGGCTCGAGCCCGAAGCGCCAGGTCGGCCGCTGGCCGGAAAGCAACGTCTTCCGAAAACGTGCATTACGAAAATTTCTTTGTTCCACATTAATTAATAATAATAATTTAACATGACTTAATAACTTTTTTAATAAATTTTAAATATTTATCGTCTTAATTTTTATTATTATTTTTTTTGGACGCGCGTGCTGTTTATTCGGTGTATCGTAAGCTATACACATAGTAAAATACACAGACGGCTTGGTTCTTGACCAGCCGCCACTGGTTCACTTACCCCTGGCAACGTATGTTTCTCATGCAGAGCGTTCTGGGCGTTGAGGGCGCTCTCCGGGCTGAAGTACGTCAGGAATGCGCAACCTGCAATCACAACGGACCTTTTCATGCACGTGCTCGCTAATAACACACAAATATGCATACAATTCCAACTGGGAAGTTTTTAAATTAATTTCTAACGGGATAGCAGGGGGTCATAATTCCATTTAATTGCGGTCGGACTCTTTTTTCGGGAGAGAATTCTTTTGTTGGCGGCTCGGCGAGTACGGATTAAAAAGTTGCATGCTTGCAGGACGTGGACCTGACACAAATAATTCCAGCAGTGTCGGTAGCGACTCTTTAAAGCTTCCGTAAAGAGAAAAATTTATTACGACTGCGCAATTAAGTAAAAAAAATCGATCAAGTATTTTTGCATTCACGAAGTTGTGAGTGCGCAATTAGGAAAAAAATCGATGCAGTATTTTTGCATTCACGGAGTTGTAGCTGAATTTTTTATAAATGTGGGAAAAGTAACGTAAATAGCTAGACTGCTTTTTATTTTCCTCGAGAACGACATAAATGTATGCGAAGTATTCTCCCGGAAACTTCTAACTACAGGAATAAAACATGTGAATTATTTATGTGAGAGCACATTTTCCGTACTAAGTTCAAAGTAATTGATTTCGTCTCGTTTCTTGGAAAGTTTTTTTCGTTTTTAGACCGAGACGTATCCGCTTGTCCAATTACCGGTAACCGTTTTCAATAAGACTAAGGATATTCAAATTCTGCCAACGCCAATGTTTCAATTCACAGAATGAAATCGTGGCAAACTTATCTCTAATTCGGTGCTTTCATTCTGTGAAAATGTGCTATTAGTTTATAGATGTTAAAACAAGACCATTTATATCGACAATAATTCATAATGGCATATAATAATCAATTTATTAGTCATAAGTGGGCGGACAATATAGAGTGCCTTTTAACGACAATTTCGTAATAAAACAGAGCGTGTTAAACAATTCACATTATATAATTTACACATAATTTTAGTGAGTGATGCATTTTTCTTTCCAAATCGTTGCATCGCGCCCATAAAATAATTCAAATTGAGTTGTTCAGGGATTACTGAGTGATGTCACGATGCTGCCATTCGAGGTGTTGTGGGAGACGAGTGACGAGCTGCTCGAAGGGCTTCATTTCAGCCTTCTTGAGAAGATTAACGTTCGAGATAGTGAACCATTTTGTAATAATGCGTAAAACATCATTACATGCATAGAGATCATGTAATTTGTCAAAAAATGAATATAGAAAGAGTGTCCTATGACAAAATATATACGTGTATAATGTGACCATTACAGCTGTCCCTTTCCCTCAAATAACAAGCGACATAGTCGTAAATATAACTGTATGTATACCTCAAAACATCTAATTCTCACTTGACGAACTTTTTGACCAAGATTATTCGCTACCGCGGCGCCCCTTTAAACAATCTTGCAAATGACAAACCCCTCACGTCGGTAAGGGCCTCCCGAAGAGACCCCAGATCCTCGTTTCAGAAATTTCGGAAGAGGTGAAAGTTCGCGACGCGACGTTAAAATCTGCGACAACGTTGCAATTTATGTCGACAAATATTTAGACATGACGCCATTAAAACCCTTCGCCGAGGAAAATTAAGTGAGCTCCGTGTTTCGTCCCGTGTTCAAAAATAGGAAACCTTTGTATAACACCGTCGAATTTTCCTAATAGAGGTCTATCTGGGTGGCGCCGATCTGAATACAGTGGTTTGTATAGCTGATAATGATATCCTTCCTGAGCACCATCTCACGGTAAACTGATAATAGGCACGATAAGCAGAGCCTGGTCCCTGCTCCAGGCTACGTACAACTTTATCTGCTCACGTTGCATTAATGTGCTAATGTAAACGGGATAAGTTCACCTGCGTCCTACCGGAGGAGGTGGGATCGATTTTTCGGCGCAACAACTGCGGTGGGTAGCAACCAAAAATAATGACTGTATTGACGTGCAATTGAAAACGTTTCATTGTAAAAACATTCAAAATTTTTTTTCGATTTGTTCTTTTTGTCTTGAGTTGTAGAGTGAGCGGTTAGCAGTGACTAAATTCTAAACCATGAAAAAAACTGAGGAGACTCGATCGCCTTGATCGAAGCTATCGATCCCGAAATGCGATAGATAACACATGGATGAAAGATAGCCTTTCATCCATGTGTGTCTTTTATTAGTACGAATTATGTTTCTTTTGACGATTACATGTTCTGTTTTGTCCACTATTGCTCTGTTTTAAATTTTGGCTGGGAGATGATTTCGTCTGAATAGCGTCAGCAGATAAAAATTGTAGTTCAACTAAATTTGAATTTCAAATTCGATGCGGCGCTTATCGGTTTCGGATCACGTGGCAATCATGTGATGAAAATAATCAACTGGATGTCAAGCCAGTCTACATATCCCAGATACTACATAGTTTTAAAGCGAGACGCTGTCGTGGTGGCAAACAAACTGATTCTTTTGTAGAACTAAAAACCCATCAAAAACAAGTATCGTCCAACATAACTTCTGTTGGGGTATTAATGTGGATTGTCGTTTCACACGAGCATTTGTTATCGGGCCGAACATCGTGCGTTTTTCAGCATGTAAGTCGTTACAACGAACACTAGCACGCTAACATCCACTAATAGAAAAATTTCAACGACATCTTCATGGCACGTAAATTGCATTATTTCTGTAAATTATTCCGCGTTAGCGCTACAAGTCTTTTCGTGTAAACGAAATCGTCATGAATCGAAAACAAACACTAAATCCCATCAAAATGTTTAACTCGACGCCTCCGTAATGATATGACTCACTGAAAGGGTCAGCCAGCTCCTACATGTGTTTACATAGGTTTGAAGATTTACTAAATGGTAAGTTCGGGTTCTAATCGAAACAAGATCTCCGACCTTTACGCCAACAAAAACAGATAAGCAGTTCGGATGCGTTAATTTGGATGAGACGTACCCTTTCTGGCACAAAAGCGCTGAATTTTCCGATCTAAATCCGTCACATTCACGTTATGTCATTTCCAATACCGAAAGTTGCAGAAAGAACATAAAACAATAAACCCGGACAAAAGTAAAATCGTTTTGTTGCAGTAGTGTAGAATGCGAACTTTAGGTAAACAGACCGAGCAAAAACAAATCGGTTAAATGCAGACCGGTCCAAAATAGAAAAGAACAAAGACAAATTGACATGCAATCTTTTATACGCACAACTTAAGATTGCTTAATAGTCGAATTCTTTCGATGTATAATCATAAAAAGTGTGCTGTTGTTTCAGTTACAAATACAACAGCTAACCCAGACTGTTTTTGAGCGGTTTGCATTTGAACGTTTTGCTTTTATCACGGTCCTCTACGAAAACATCGACACCAAAACAAATTATAAATTTAATTTCCTGTTCCTTACACAACACCCCAGTGCACCGACGACATAAACGAATGACACTTTCGTGACCGTTCGTCTACACTCCGCTCGCCTCGTAATTATTCGCAGCTTTTGCGTGTTGAACAAAAGACAAGGGCCACCATTATCACATATCTATAATATCATTATCTTATTTTACTTAAATAGAGCACGCTGAACACGACATCTCTCCACTTGAAGCTATTCACATGCCGCGATAAAAAGATATCCTGCTGTTAAAGGGATGATTGATCTGGCCCTTAAGTACAAGCTCACCTTTCACCGTCAACACAGCAAACTAATGAGGAACTACAGCATGATTGGAGGTTGGGGTGCTTTTTAATTATAGCTTCCATTTACAACTATTCGATAGAGGAGGTGCGTTTTCTATGGCACACGTCGACTGGCGTGACGATAATTTATACGCGTCACACTAGTTTACTGTAAACGCTGTTGGTATTATATTTGGGTGGAGAGCGCGCGTTTTGGATGGGTTTATCATCAGTCTTTGGTTCAGCAAATAAATAATCCTTTGACCTTTGTAAACAAAACTGACGTTGACTGAAAACCCTCCCTAAATTAAATTAACCATAGTAAATAATTTTACCCATCTCGAATTGTCAATAACACACCATATTTTGGAGTTCACTGAACAAAAATTGGCTTCGGCAAATATTAACTCTAGAAAAATAGTCTAAAGAAAGCCGATCTCCACCTGTATTAATTAACTGACTCCTTGTTCGCCAAACCGAATTTTTATACGAACAAAAACCCCGATATTAATCTGCTATTATTATCAAGCCTTTTCAGGCCGTTCCTCTGCTCCAAGTTTAAGAATTATTATGTGCGATAAGTGACGTTAAAGTTACTTTACAGGAGAAAATTCCCATGCAGCTTTTGTGTACCTTTTAGAATACCCCCAATTCAAACTCGAACGTAGTTATCTTAAGGCATTGTTATTCTATATAACGTTGAGCACCTATTTTGGTTTCGGCTTCCTTAAATTCCTCCAACCACTCCACTAACAATAAAATCAAAATATGAACTTTTACCAGGATCGAGTGAACGAGGAAAGCTCCGGCGCCATACGAACGAAACGAATCGAATGTTGGAATTAGCAATTTATAGGGATAATGTGCGAATATAAAACTAATTTATGAGCCCTAATTGTGATATAAAAGTTTAATTCTCTTGATCCCGAAAGCTTTTTCGTGTCACATTAGCAATGGACATAGGGCATTAATCGTTCAAGCTACGGACGAAAATAACGACTGCACCTGATTTGAAGAAAAATAGTCGAATGTAGAAGTGGTCTTGAACTTCGTCAAGAAAATATAGAAAGTTAGGTTTCAGTGTTTGAGACCAAACTACGTAAAGTTCTTGCAGAACAGTTGGAGTTGAATTGGATCCTTTAATGCAATTTATCGATTCTTTCCTCGAGAAACAAATAAGAGCGAAACAAGTGAACTCCTTACAGGCGTAACGCCGACCCTTAACATGGTCGACGCTGTAAACTATCGACCATTCAAGTCAGTGTATGTTTAAAGTACTCGCGGTTTATGAATCCGCCTTGATTTTTAATCACAACACCAACACAAAAGAAGTCGGTAAACCATTCCAAAACATCGGTGTTACCGAAAGCCCGACTCG